GTTTATGAATGGTTTAAAATGAGTTTATTAATGGTTCTTAATTAGGTCAGAAACATCTTAAAAATCATGAGTAAACAGTTATAACACATGATTAAAAGGGGAAAACGTGAGCTGTTATATCCGATGAAGATGAGTTTCAATGCTGACTGATGGAGAAGACAAAGTAAGATACGCAACCAGCAAGAATTGTGGTCTAACTACATGCCTAAAAACGATGGTTCTTCAAGGGTTCTTTAGTAAAGAAAATGGTTCTGTATAGAACCATGAACACTCAAAGAACCCTTTGCATGATTAAAGGGTTCTTTGCATCGTGAAATGGATCTTGAGACTGATGGAGAATAGAACCTTTTGGAAAAGGGTTCTATACAGCACCATAAAGGGTTCTTCTATTGTAACCGAGCCTAACAGTAGAAGAACCCTATTTGGTACTATATAGAACCCTTTTCAAAAAGGTTCTATATAGAACCATCTACTGCACATTCTCCATTAATCTGAAGAACGCTTTCACAATGAAAAGAACCCTTTGATCATGCAAAGGGTACTCTGAGTGTTCGTGGTTCTATATAGAACTTTTCTTCACTAAAGAATCTTTGAAGAACCATCTTTTTTAAGTGTGTATATGAATAAATGTGGGTTCAAATAACAGATCACTGTTGCCCTTTTTATATGTGTGTTATAACTGCTTATTATTGCCGTTTAAGGTGTTTATGACCTAATTAATAACCATTAATAAACTAATAATAAACCATTCGTAAATGCTTTATAAGGGTAGTCTTATTCTAAAGCGGTACCAACAGTTTAACTTGGTAGCCCAACTGTATAAAACTCTAAGTTATTTGTTATACGGACAAATGAGAAAAAGGAAATCTCAAAGCAATTTTTCACTCTTAATAGGATCCCAAAAATATGACTAATATGACTAATATGAATAATCCACTCATTGGGACTCGCAGTTATAGTTCCGCATTGACACAGTTTGAGTGAATGCCTATGTACAAAGTCAAACTGTCAACACTGCATCAATCTCTCCAACAGTCACTTCAACAGCAAGTCATTGTTTAATTAATCTCCTTTACGCTCGCTTTCTCAAACAATGGGTTAGAAGAGCGTTTTACCCCCACATGGTCACCAGCCGACCATCGCCCTCCCCACCTCCCTCCTTGGGTGATAAAAGTCAAACATTTCACAACCCTTGAGTATTATATGGCGCTTTACATTCCTGCCTGACTCATGTGTTTGCTCAAACGGGTGTGAGTGTGCCATAAACTGGAATAAGAAAAGATCCCCCAACACACACACACACACTGGGGGCATACACTTCTGTCCACATCCAGTAGCAAGATAAACAGCAATGAGCAAAGTTTTAGAGCATATGTTGACTGCTGCACTCTTTCAAACACTGCAGTACTTTCCATATTGTAGCTGTAAGTGAGGTGTAAGGCAGAAGTGGGTAAAGCATCCAGAAAGCTTCCTCCAGTAAAAGTCATGTTGCTGAATTAAAAGCAGCTATGAACAACAGCTAGAGCAGGAATAAATAAAAGGGTAGAATTTTAAAGGATTGCTTTATATTTTTCCAAAGTATTTAAGGAGTCCAGTTTCAGATTTCAACCTTAAAAAAAAAAAAACAAAGAAAAAAAATATAAAATAAAACCTTGCATTTTCAAAAAGATAACTTTACAGGATGAAGAAGAAAGTCCTTAATTTTTAATGAAAGTTAACTGAGAAATATTTTTTTTCCAGGACCTTTTCTGTTGATCTGTTCATCATGAAATTTTAACACAACATAAAAGAGCAACTGGCATATCGCTGCTGTCAGAACGAAACCTTGTATCTCCATTTCTGTTGTTTTGTACTTTTTTTTTTACAGAATTTCAAAATGCTAGCTGACCTTTACAATGCGCCAAAATTTCATGATGAACAGACCAGCAGAAATGCTTTGAAAGTGCTTGGAAAAAAATGTAGTTCCATTATCTTCCATTCGAAGTTAAGAATGTTTTTTTTTCCTTTGTCCTGTGAAGTTACCATTTTGCATTTTGGAGATATTAAGTTATTACCTATTATTCTCCCTATTGTCAGAACAAAACCTTATATCTCTAAAATGGTAACTTTACAGGAGAAGGAAAAAATCTACTTTACTTTTAATGCAAGTCAATGGAACCAGAATTTTTTCCAAGCTGTTTTGGGTTGTTTCTGCTGGTCCATTCATCATGACATTTACACACAATATAAAGGGCAACATGCATTTTCAGATTATGTCAAAAACTGAAAAACGACAAAAATGGAGATACGAGGTTTTCTTCCGACAGCAGCAAAACATATATATAAGGCCAAGCTGCAGTGGAACAGCGGAACTTAGTGGAACCTCAGTAGGCCTTTACTATGTTATGCTCTGTTCTTTTCTTTTTGGGATTGTTGGTCTAAGATCAAATGCTAAGCTTTAAAGCGAAAATTATGACCAACAGTAAATCAATGGAACCAGACTTTTTTCCAAGTTGTTTTGGGCTGTTTCTTTTGGTCCATTCTTTACATATATAAAGTGTGCATATATGCCTGTGAACTTTACTATGTTATGCTCAGTTCTTCTCTTTTTGGGATTGTTGGTCTAAGATCCCAATACTAAAGCTTTAAAGCAAAAGATCTGACCAACAGCAAAGCAGTCCAGCTGCTGAACCAGCAGACCAAAAGAAATGTAAAGGACTGCAACGGAACCGAGAAAAAACTAGATTCCTCCCCTCATAAACACGCTCAACACGGTGTTGCGCAGCGCCTGGCCAACACTCAAGTGGACTGACAGAGATCTTCAGCTGAGGTCTAAAAGGCGCAGGAAAGCTGCTATCGACAACGCCGCCCTTTCTGGACGCTGAAAGAGTATAGATTACAGAAAAGTTAACGTTAAGCTCCCAGAGTGCCCCTCCGGCCGAAGGGGGGTGTTTAACTCCACGCTAATGCTCTTAGCGAGGGACTCTGATCCGCTTTCGCACGGCGAGCTGCCCATGATCCCGGATCCATGCGCTGAAATCACTCACAACAAACAGCCTAGCCGTGCTAACAGCCTCAGACCCAAATAAAGACGGTGTAGCCTGATAAACAGCGTCACTGGAGGCCAGACGTGAGACACACTGCGCTCTGTGGGCCCATCAATTCACCACATACTGTACAGCGAGGCAACATTTGGTGGCCATGAGTTTCATAAACAAACAGTCTATGCTAACTAGCTGCACAGGGGCTTCTTGTTCCCCTCTGCCTCGCTGCAGGTTGTGTTGTTTTATCTGCTCCAACACCAGTTCAGCTCTCTAAGGGCTTGTTTGTTGTCTGTTTGGGTCGAGTGAGCTGGGGAGACTAAACTAGGCTAAAGCCAGGACTGCGGAACACGGGGCTAAGCTAGCTAGCCTGCTAGCAGCCCGCAGACTAGCTTCAGTACGAGGCTGAACTCAGCTTCTTACTTGTTCGCCAGCGTCTTGTTCGAATTTCCCCGTTCCACCTTAAATGGAGCGACAGTAACACATAACGCCTCAGGCGCTCAGAATGGAACTGCTGCACCATTTAAGGTGGAACGGGGAGATTCGAACAAGAAGCTGGCGAATAGGAAGACAACTTCAGCCTCGCAGGGTGAAAACGGCTGCTCTCTCAAACCGATTCCGCTGTATTCATCTTAAAGTCTGCTTTAGTCTGAGGTCTTCGGTGGGTCACGTTAACACTGAGCCGAGCGGCTCGTCCTCCTGCGGCCTGCGCCGCTGGGAGTTTTTATGAATGAAGAACAGTATGCAAATGAGCGCGATTCACCAAGGAAAAAAACAAAACAAAAACAGAGATGGCGGATATTGCATAGCAGCCACAAACACATTAGTGTTTCAGGGGTATTCCCATATGGCTCATATAGCTTTTATATATATATGTGTATATATATATATATATATATATATATATATGTATATATATACATATATATATATATATATGGGTGTTTATGTAAATACTATTGCATACTCTATGCGTTTGTGTGTGTGTATAGGCACATGTATATACTATATACCAAAATCGATACTATTGCATATACATGTGCCTATACACACACACACACACACACACACATACATATATACATATATATCTGTATATGTGTGTGTAGGCACATGTATATGCAATAGTATTGTTTTTGGTATATAGTATATACATGCATACACACACACACACTCACATATACATATATATACACACATATTTGTGTGTGTGTGTGTGTGTATAGGCACATGCATATGCAATAGCACTGTTTTTGGGATACAGTACATGCATGTCAATTTCCTTTGCATAGGGGTTATCACTGCCTTTTGAATGACTAGCCCAATGCTGCCGTGCTAAAATATACATTTCTATGTATTTTGGGAGACCAGCCAAATGTGTCCCCCAAAGGGTCAAACTGTTCATGCTTTCCATCGTGGGGGACATTTAGTCCCCACAAAGAGCTAAACACGCGCACATGTACCCATGCACGCAGGCGCGCGCTCGTGCACGACAGCCTAGAAAAGCGTGTTAAAAACACGCTCTGAGCTCCGCATGGCATGATGTGGTAGACTTAAATCAACGCAGGTATAAATGAAAACACCCGGGAGAGTCACTCGGAGGGACCCTTGATCCTTTCACAAAATGTTTCCGTTTCCAGCCCCCCCGCCCCCCCCCCTTCTCCACAGTAAAGCCCCGTGCAGCAGCAACAGCAGGAGAGGGAAGAGGGAAAGGGGGGGGGGCACGGAGGGCCCCAGGCGTGTAGCTGCCCCTTCACACTGCGCTGTTTTCGGGGGTAGTTTCACCACCTAGCGCTGCCTTTCCTTCCAGCGCATCCAAGAAACGAGCCATGTATGCAGCCCGTTTCAAACAAGCGCCGCACACAGCCGCCGCGTCTCACGTGGAGCGCGAACGTTCTCCTCCGTCCTCGCGCGTGAGACACGCACGCACACACACACACACACACACACACAAAAGAAAGTACACGCTGGGCTGCTTACTCGTCTGGCTGCGATTCCTCGGTCATTTTTCAGCCTCCTCGCTTTCACCTACAGTGAAGAAGTCCCAGCGCGCGCGCCGCGCCGCCTTCACGCTTCATTCTCCCTCTTTTCGGTTCTTCGCGCCTCTGTTGATGCCTTATTGATTTATTTATTTATTTATTTATTCTCTTCCATGCCCGTACCGCCGCCGCCGTTTGATTGTTTTTCATTTATTTCGCTTCTCCCAGAGCCTCTCTTCCTCTCCCTCCTCCTCCTCCTCCTCCTCTTCGTCCTCCCGCCCCGTCCGCTGCACTTTAGCCCCGACTGTGCGCGCTGCGCTCGGCGAGGGCGGCCCCATCGCCCGCTCTCTACTCCATGTTGGGCTTCTTCGTGTCGAGGCGAGCAGGCTGGAGCAGGAGAGAGAGAGAGAGAGAGAGAGACACGGCCTCGCTGGAAAAGAAGGGGGAGGGGGCTGGGGGTGAGCGGGCGCGCGCGTGTGTGTATGTGTGTGTGTTTGGGGGGGCTTAGTAGAATGTGGAAGGAAGGGGGGGTTGCGGAAGCAATGACGTCAGAGAGTGGAGGAAGGCGTGCAGACCGTTCTGGACGGAGGGAGATCCGCATGGCTGGGGTCGAGAGAGAGAGAGAGAGAGAGACGCAAGGATAGCAAGCGCCAACTGTTGCTACCAAGCGCCCTCTAGCGCACGTTGAAGTCACAGTAATATGAAAATAATAAAATAAATAAGAGTTAAAATAAACTAACAAACAAAGAATTATTAAACGAACAGAGATAAATGTTGCAAGCTGCGTACTTGGATTGATTATGATATATATAGACATATGTGTATGAATGTGTCAGTGACATGAAGGCAAAGCGCAATTTATTGCCACTGAGCGCCCTCTAGCGCCCATGAAAGAGAATGCACCATGCATCAGAACTGTGAGTTTAACTGGAGAAAGAGAGAGACAGAGAACGGAGTGTCAGAGAGAGTGGACAGAGGATAGAGAGTGAGAGTGAGAAAAAGGCAAGACAGAAGACAGAGGGAGAGAGTGAGAGAGACAGACAGGGAGAGAGAGAGAGAGAGAGAAAGATGACATTGACACAGCGAGAGAGAGAAGACAGAGAGAGGAAAAGAGACAGAGGACAGAGAAGTAGAGAGACAGACAGAAGACAGAGAGGGAGAGACAGCAAGAGAGAGAGAGAAAGCGCAAAAGACAGAACAGAGGGGGGAGCGAGAGAGAGGACAGAGAGGGAGAGAAAGCAAGAGAGCGACAGATGACAGGGAGAGACAACGAGAGAGGACACAAGAGAAAGGACAGAGAGGGAGAGACAGCGAGGGAGTGACAGGACAGGGAGAGACAGTGAAAGAGTGACAGAGGACAGAGAGGGAGAGACAAAGAGAGAGGGAGATGACAGATCAGGAGAGACAAAGAGAAAGGACAGAGAGAGAGACAGAGGACAGAGAAGGAGAGACAAAGAGAGTGACAGAGGACAGATCAGGAGAGACAAAGACAAAGGACAGTGAGAGAGACAGAGGACAGAGAAGGAGAGACAAAGAGAGACAGAAGACAGGGAGAGACAGTGAGAGAGTGAAAGAGGACCGATCTGGAGAGACAAAGAGAGAGACAGAGGACAGAGAGGGAGAGACAACAAGAGAGGACAGAGAGAAAGTGAGACAGTGTGAGGGAGAGAGAACACAGTGAGAGAGGGAGAAGACAGAGAGGGAAAGCGACAGGAGAGAGGGAGACAAAGGACAGAAAGGGAAAGAGGGAGAGACAGTGAGAGAGAGACAGATGACAGAGAGGGAGACAGAGAGAGAGAGACAGACGACAGAGGGAGACAGCGAGAGAGAGAGAGAGAGAGAGAGGAGAGGTGACAGAGAGGGAGAGAGTGAGAGAGAGACAAACAGCAGAGAGGGAGAAAGGGAGAGAGAGAGAGACAGACGACAGAGAGGGAGACAGCGAGGGAGAGAGAGAGAGAGAGAGATAGAGAAAGAGAGAGAGCCCTCTAGTGTCTGTTAAAGAGAATACATCAAGCATCGCTAGTGTGAAGTGCAGAGCTGGTCTTGTGTCCTGTTGTATTTATTTTACTATTATTGGTTCTGAATCTAATCATTATTATTGTCCTTAACTCTATAACAGTGGTTAGTATGTTCAGTTTTAAAGGTTGTATATTTCAGCAGTGGAGCTCTTGATTCATTCCTGCCCGTAAATCTACTTAGAACTGTAAACTGAAAGAAGAGAAAGTGAAAGAGGGACAGAGAGCAAAGCCCGTTACTGCCACCACGCGCCCTCTAGCGGCTGTGGAGGAGAGTGCAACACAAGACAGCGTGTTTATCTGTGACTCTGCCTTATTCAAATGTGTGCATCATTTCCACCTGAATGACACACATTACATCAACACAGCTCCGTCTTTCAGCTCACTTCCTTTCGGAGATGACGGTGTTGTTGTTGTTGTGATGTACTTTACTGTGTGGAAATGATTCGGTGCATTTTTTCAGCGCAGCACGCACACAGTGTTGGTCACTTTGAGACCACCCTACCTTTATTTAATTTCCAGTCAAAGCAGCCATTAAGTACAAGTTGTTATAGATGTTGGATGATTTATTATTAGATCTGAATCAAGAGTGGAGCTGATTTTCTCCTCTCTCTCAGAGGTGAAAGCCTTAAGTGCTGTTTATCTGATGGGGACAGATTTGGTGTCTACCAGGTGTTTCAGGTGGTTGTTACGAGGCTCATTTTCTCTGGAGCTCTTGATCATTTTTGAGCTCCAGTTCTGGAAACCCCTGTTTTTTTCACTTATTTTCATTTGACTCTCTTTTTCCCTATAAAGATGGATTACCTTATATCTAATTTGCCTTATATCTGGCTGTTATTATATTATATTACATTATATAGCCATTTAACAAACTGTAAATTACAAAGTACTGTTATACTAAGTACTGTTATTGTTTTTTAGTGTAAAAGGATCAAAAATAACACAGATAGTAGAGAGGTCAGTTACCATTCATACGATGGAAGTATTATAAATGATTCATTCAACATTTATAATAAACTTCAATACTTTGAATTACAGGGGAAGAGAGACAGATTTGATAAAAAAGATGCATCAATTCAGTTATTTATAGGTGCACTTTGTAGTTCTACAATTACAGACTGTAGTCCATCTGTTTCTCTGCATACTTTGTTAGCCCACTTTTAGCCTGTTCTTCAGTGGTCAGGACCCCCATGGACCCTCACAGAGCAGGTACTATTTGGGTGGTGGATCATTCTCAGCACTGCAGTAACACTGACGTGGTGGTGGTGTGTTAGTGTGTGTTGTTCTGGTCTGAGTGGATCAGACACAGCAGTGCTGCAGGAGTTTTTAAACACTATGTCCAATTTACCACCACAAGCTTTATTTCGCACCAATCTAACACCCCTCATCCCAAGCTGGGGCTGAATCTCAAATGGCTCCCTGCTCCCTACGTAGGGATTTAAATACTGGATCCTGAAGTGTGTAAATCATTCAAGTGACAGTCTTTAGATTTTTATGTTGCCGTTTTACAGTGAATCATAAGTACGTAAGTACATTAATTTAAGCCTGTCATATTAATGATGGAGTTTTCTAGAACGTTTGCTATCTTTTAGCCTGTTAGCTAGCCGACCAGCCTAGTTCTAGTTGAGAAAATAAGCTGTAAGCCCGCTCAGTTTGAACCAAAAACGGGTTCTTACTTCATCATAACACTTTAGTGCAGCATTAGTGTCAAAGATTATTCTATTCACAGTATAAGGATTTTTCGTGATGTGGTGCAGTAATACAGAGTTTAGTCGCTGTGAGGCGGTCATATATGTATACAATAATCGTTCATTTTACAGGAGCCTCTTGCAATTTCCCCATTATATCAAAAATATGACTGCAAAACGCCAGAGGGCGCCCGTGAGCAAGTCCTCAATGAATGGGGGCTAATGGAGCTAAATGGCTAAAAACTAAAAGTTAAAATAGTTTCTAATCACTCGTCCAGAACTTTCCTTTGATTTTAGAAAGTAGGAGGATGTATTTCACTAAAAAGCAAAGAAAACTCACCTGTATGTTTCCTTTTTCTTCAGCAAATGGATTTTGGGCAGCAGGACGCTAACATTACTGCTACTGAGTGCTGATTGGTTGGCGAGCGGAGCAGATCATTGGGCGTTTGTTCTCACTGACGTCATGAACGTACATGAGGCGATGTTTTAAACTCCTATAACTCGAGTTTAAAAGCTCTTAAAAATATGACAGCAGCGTTAAAATGTTTTATGCTTTTCAGTGTTCAGGAAATTAATGTATTCTTTTATATTAAAAATGTTTAAGCATTTATAAACTATGATTTTGCTCAAATGCGCCGTCTTAATCCGTTCATTTTGGACTCGCTCAGAGCGCCCTCTAGCGTCTGAGAAACCTTAAAGACGAAGAACTACGAGTTCTCTGTTAAAATATATTAAAAACACTGAAACAGTCAGGAAAGTGTTTATAGCCATAGTGTAAATACATGGCTGTTACTAGCTAATGATGTTTTTCAGAAGGTGAATGAATGAATGAAGGAACGAATGAATGAAGCCAGTTTGTCATACAGTTCAAGGGCGAACATTACAGAAAGAACGTTTTATATTACTGGGACTTTTGTATTGTTGAAAACGTTAAAAAAATCTAAACTGTGTATCTTCTGCCACCTTGTGGTCCTATCACGCAAATGCACTATATTTCCAAGCTTTAACTCCCATGTCCCTGTAGCCCACTGCACTGCACGGCACAGTGTGGTTTTTCTCCTGCTCTGATTCCAGCATGTCAGTGTGACTCATGTGAGTGGACTGTGAACTGGGTCTTTGTGAAGAAGTACCTGCCGCAGAGTCTGATGATCCACTTCTATACAGTGATCATCGAGTCCATCCTCACATCATCCGTAACCATCTGGTTTGGTTGCTCCACTTCACATGAATGAGCGAAACTCCAGTGCATAATCAGGACAGCGGAGAGGATCACTGGATGTAGTCTGCCAACACTTCAGGGCATCTACAGCAGCAGGGTGGTGAACGTGGATGTCACCTCTTCCAGCCACTTTCCTCTAAGTAGAAGATACAGGGCCATCAAAACCAGCACAGCCAGACATGCTAACAGCTTTTCCCCCAGAGCTCATCAACCACAGTGGACGCCTCTCACTTTAAACTTAAACTAAACCATCAAACCTCCTACTGTATTACAGTGACTCCTCTGTAACATAATGCTTATGGGCACAACTGTACAGATGTTAATTTTTTACATTCCACTCTGTAATAATCTGTCTATAACAGTTGTTATATTATGTCTACTCAGACCTGCATTTCACACTGGGCCTTTATTATTTATTTCTTATTCTTTATTCTATTTATTGTACTCTTATTTTATTTGTCCATTACACTCTTAAAAATGTTGGTACTTCTAAGGTTCTTTAGTAAAGACAGTGGTTCTATACAGAACCCTGAACACTCAAATAACCATTTGCATGCTTAAATAGTTCTCTCCATGGTGAAATCGTTCTTCAGATTGGTGGAGAATATGTTGTATATGTTTCTATATAGAACCTTTTTTCGTAGCACCAAAAACAGTTCTGCTATTGTTACAAGCTTGACATTGGAACAATAGAAGAACCCTTGAGTGTTCATGGTTCTACATAGAACCGTTGTCTTTACTGAAGAACCCTGGAAGAACCATCTTTTTAAGAACGTAGTTAAATATTTGTTAATAGTGCTTGTCTGGTCTGTTCAGTGTGTTACATGTGCATGTGTGCACCAACCAAGACGAAAAATCTTTGTATGTGTAACATATTTGGCGAAATAGTGATTCTGATTCTTCTGATTTTTCCTCAGCTATCACACCTGATTCAACTCATCAGCTCATTATGAAAAGCTGCAAGACTGTGGCCCTTCACTCTTTAAAATAGAGGAGCCTAAAAGTGCTGTGTTGAGCAATGCTGTACAACACATGCGTCAGGCTCAAGTCCTCGCAGGTCAAAGCTCTGCAGGCTTCAGCACAGTGCCTCATTAAGCACACCTGATTCAGCTCATCAGCTAATAAGCTAGTCCTACATGAACTGAATTCAGAGCATTAGATGAGGATGAACGCTAATCTCCACAGCACCAGATATCAGAAGTATCCATAAAATCACTTTTGGTTCCTTGAAGAAACTGTCAATAGATGGTTCTCTAAGGACACCTCAACTGAATGGATGAAAGGATTGGTACATTGTGTTTAGAGATGAGGTCCACCGATGTCTCCAAATTTCTGCATAATTCACTGGTTGAGATGTAAACAAAGTCATTGTTTGCATAGTTCATATTGCTACATTCAAGCAGCCACTCAGGTTGCAAGGTTCTGTTAGCCAGTCACATTGCAGGAATCTAGTAGTCAATCAAGGTGTAGAATTCAACTAGCCATTCAGGTTGCAGGAATCCACTAGCCAATCAGAGCACAGCATTCAACAAGCCAATCAGATTGGCCTCAGCTGCCAACACATGATAAGGAATGGCTGTCAAAAGCACTGTAAGACTTTTTCCATGGTGCGTTTAATATTAAACGATTAAAAGACTCCAAATTTTACAATAAAATAAAGGAAAAACGTTGTACAGACACGTTTAATGAGTTGTGTTGTTAAACGTGATGTTAATTCTTACTGTACAAGTGAATGTAGGTCATTGGGTTCGAATAGGCTGCTCTATGGTGCAGACGGAGCGATATTCATTTCTACCAGCAGGGGGCGCCAAATGCATTGAGTAAAATCGAGCTTTGAGTTTAATGAAAGATAATAAAAACAAGGCTCCATATTTATCGAGATCAAAGCGATTCTAAGACCACGTGTCTGAGATGTAAGGGTAAAAATGTCTTTTGTTCTGGGTGGGTGGGTCCTGATTTGTGTAGGCCATCTTTTATATCTTTTATACATCTTTTGTAAAATATTCTAGTTTGAGTTACAGTAAAACATGAGGTTACATCTTCAGCATTTCTCTTTAAACTGAGATTATACATCATGATGAAATGATCAAAGGGAAACTTTATAATCAGACCATCACTAAAATGTAGACTTGTATGTCTTTTAAAGGGTAATGAACTTTGGCTCTAAGATTTCCCAGCTTCATGAGAAGCCTAACTTCTGATATAACGAAGAGAGTAACGTGAATTTATTTTGAATTTCTATTTTTCTGCTTTTCACTGTTTTAACGACCCAATTCATCTGCGTCCCAAACAGAGACGACATGTAATTTGAGACTATTTGTGAGTTAAAACGTTTTGCATTTACAAAAACTGCCAAAACTACTAAAACCTGTACTGTGTTTTGTCTAAAGGCGCCTTCATTTTGCATGATGCAAAGTTACATATCAGAACGCTCATCGTTAAACTGTGGAAGTGAAGAGGAGCGACTGTTACTGCATATTTGAGATCTGACAAAGTAGAAAATATGTGGAAAAAATACATAGCACCTCACTTTTAGGTTCCTCAGAACCTTGCTGAGAACTTAGATCCAAGCTTCCACATAAACTAACTCTAAAAGTTCGTTTCATTTACTTCTAAAAATAACTCAGAAAAACTGAGGACTAAGGCTGCGTTCACACTTCAGATAATTCTAATTAGTTTCTGTTTAATCGGATCTTTAGCACTGTTTAGGATTCTGTGTAGCTACGAAGTGATCAAGCACTTATATTCATTTCAATAGCTTCAGTGGTTGCTGTGGTAACGGCATAAGCCCGGCCAATGACATACAGCAAAGGTTCTATGAAGGATTGTGACGTCAAATACGCCAAGAGGGCTAAAAAAGACGGAATACATTTGAAATCGGATCTGAGCCTAAAACGTGTATGCAAAAATGCGTTTTGAATCAATCATATTTCATGCTTTTTTCATATTATTATTATTTGTATATTATGATTCCATATAACCAAAAATGTGTCCAGAAATGCGATTAAATTAGTATTTTACAAATGTCGTTTTTGAAATTGTTCCTGTTCTGGTTTCACAAAAACAATTCGGATTTCTTTTAGATATGCAAATAAATCACACATTCAAAATGTAACTTGAATCCTATTTGAAACCACATGTCACTGTGATGTTGTCTCGATTTTTAAAACACTGTTTAGATTTAACTCATAAAAATCAAAACCTGATATGCAAACAAATCGGATTGGGGCTGTATGTGTGAACACAGCGTAAAATCCCATTCCATAAAATCAGCATTTCACAGTTATTTTATAGGCCTGTTAAGCGTTGTTTCCACAGTCACACACTGTCACACATACGGTCCACTCGCTGCGGCTCCTTTAAGGCCTCCAAACACCCTCCTTCTCCTCCTCCTCCTCCTCCTCCTCCTCCTCCTCAGCTCCAGACACACTATTGCATTAAGAACAGGCGAGTTGAGTGATCGCAGACGGGAATGGCGCTTCATCTGGAGTTTATGGACACTATTGATCACTTTACTGATCGATATTGATTAATACCTGCGGGGACAAGAGGAGGAGGTGGAGTGGGGGGTGGGGGGGCAGGGGGGCATTTCCATTTCAGCCAGCACTGACCGGCCTTCTGCTCCAAAGACTGCACGAGCCTCTCACTGGAATATGTTGTTGTTGCTTTCAAGGAGCCCACGAGCCACGATCGGGAGCACAGCCTGATGTAGTGTGTGTGCGCGTGAGTGTTTGTGTGCGTGTCAGTGTGTGTGTGTGTGAGAGAGAGAGTGTGTGAAGGCCGAACTCGGACGGAGCGGCACGCGGGAGCAGCAGCCTCGAGCTCATGGCTCAGCGGGTGCGTAAAGGAGGGCACGAACCAAACCTGGGAATGCTATCTAGAACCTGGAAAACGTGTGTTTGCACGTGCTGGATTAACGCGTTGGATTAAGTCTTGCGGACGGGGATTAAGCCTTGTAGTGTTGGATTAACACCTAAAGCACTGGATTAACTCGTAGCGTGTTCTGTAAACTCGTATACGGTCGGATTAAGTCCAATAGGCCTGTTAATAAACGCTCACAGCGCGTCATTAATTTGCAGTGGTCATTTAAATCTAGATTGTCGTCCAATGAGGGAACTGAAAGAGTTGACTCAGCACTGTAAGAGCTGATTTAACACTATAGATATGAACTAAATATTAGTAAACACTGTAGATGGAATTTAAAACGTCAACAACTGTAAAAAATTATTTGTTGTAAAAAAGTAATTCTGTGGACTTTTTTGAAGTTCAGCAAAATTTAAATATGAAAGCAGCCACGTTAACATACCCACTTAAGTTAAACACATTACAGTAAAATAGTGCTTTAAACTTTAAACAAGTTAGCATTGATGCTGTCTTAAATTTAGATTTTAAATTTCAATTTAAAATTTAGAAATAATGCGAGCATAAAATTGGCAAATTATTTTTCTGTTAATTCACTGAAATTCAGCGAAGTCAAAATCTCAATGCAGGCTAGACACTTACTTTCTAATTTAAAAATAATGTAGTTATTAATAAACATAATAGTTTAATAGTTATTAAATATGTAGTAAACGCTCTTTATGTTCATTCAGGAGCCTGAATTTTGCTGTGCACGGTGCAAATACACGTTTTCAAATGAAGATGGTTTAGCGAGCAATTTGCATGATAAAATGTAAACTCTTGGCTTATTTAGCACCAAAGAAGGTTCTACTACTTGTAACCCTTTTATTGCTCCATAAAAGCTTTTCTAAAAGATTTTAAAAAGGTTCTGCAGGTTTTGCCTCCTACAAGAAAACTACAAATTTCACCCTGCAGAGATATTTTTCTGCCCTCACAGTTCTACATGTGACCACGGTCTTTACTAAGGAACCCTGAAGAACCTTATTTAGGGTGTGTGGCTAACTTGTCTGGAGCAAAATCAGGGGCTTTCAGGCTTTTGCTGGCTTATTTTGGCTCTTTGTTTGCAGGTCTAGACAATGTTGAGAACAGCGTCTTCAATTGTAGCTAAAATTTAAATTTTTCTTTTAAACGTTTTTTTTTCTTTTTTATTTGACTGGACAGTCATGGTCAATCACTGATCTATTACAATCATCTAATTTAGGAGCTTTTAATTTTTGATATTTATATATTCATTTCAAATCTTATTTGTTGGCTGTGTTACACAAACGTTTCTTGGCTTTTTAAAAATGAGTTCATTGCTGATTTATTCGATAAAAGGAAATGAAATGACAGAAGAGATTAGCTAAAAAAAACGATATTTGTTCCAATCACTGCTTTCAGTGATCGGAACAAATACGGGTTATTATCAGAATATCACTCTATATAGAACTATATAGAAAAAGGAGTCTATATAGAACCATAAGAAAAAGGTTCTGAGACTTGTAACAATGGGGGAAGCCATTTTTGGCGCTACAGAACCATTTTTTAAAGAACCAACACGTTTGAGACTGAGACTAATTGCGGTTTCAGACCGAGCCGTTTAAAATATTGTTATTTATTGTTATTAATGTTACACTGTAAAATGGTTCAATGTTTTAACTTTAAAAAGTAAGTAACCTGGTAGCCTTAACATTTTGAGTTCACTGAACTGCTAATAGTAAGTTAACCGGACAGTAATTTTGCGTCCTGTTAAATTTTTATTTGAAGTTCTATGAATTCAAAATTTGTAACTTTTTAAAGTTAAAGCATCAAATCATTTTTACAGCGTACTGAATTATTAAACTGTTATGTATGTTATTGAGTGATTCTGTTTGTAATAGATTCTTTAGAGAACAGGTTTCCCATCACAGAGAACCATTTAACCGTGCAAACATTCAAATGGTTCTTTGGGTGCTCACTGTTTGCTACAGAACCCTTGAAGAGCCATGTTTTTAAGGGTGAGGAAAATTAGACACATATCAGACTGATGTGATCCAGTTGTAAACATGTAGTATGTTAAAGGAAATCTGAAATATATGTGTATATATATAATGTATGTATATATATATATATATATATATATATATATATATATATATAATATATATATATAATGTATGTGTGTATATATATATATATATATACATACATTTATATACACATACACACACACACACACACACACACACACATATATATATATATATATGACTAATTCTGATGCTGTTCAAGACTTTTTTAAAAACTTTGGTTAGAGTAAAAGTGCATTAGCTCAACTGAAGCACTCCTGCTAACCCGTCCTCCTCACCGGTGAAGACGGCGAAGCACTCCTCCATTCCTCGCGCGCTGAGAGCGTGTATGATTATAAGTGCGGAGGAAACGGTTGTTTTTTTATGACGCCACTCTAAACAGCGGAGCGAGTGCGCGCGCGCGCGTTACCGGCCTCCATCCTAAATGTAGTGTGAACGTTTCAGAGTCGCCGCCGCCCTTTGGTCTTTACTCCTCGCGCCGCGTTACTGAAGCCTGTTGATGTCGTTTTATTTAGTATATACACAGTCGTACGCAAAAGTTTGGGCACCCCTGCTCAAATGAGATATACATATTTTTAATGATGAAGTGAAACTGAGTTACACACCCGACGCACTTCTGCACACTTTGCTGCACCTCTGCTGTCTGTTCGCTGGAAAACACAAAACGTGGCCTGTGTAAAAGTTATGGCACCCTTTCTGTTTTATTGTAGAATGCGCTCCTAAAACGTATGTGTTTAAAAATAGCACATTCTGTCTCTAACTAGGCACATCAGTGTGTTCAGTTGGCGACGACACGTTTTTTTTGTTCCTTTTCAGACAAAATATATTGAAATATTTTAAGACCCAGTTATGGAAAGTACCATGTTGGGTTACTTTTAACACAGAATGTGCTAAATCAGAAAAGAATACGACAGAAAATGTGTTAAAATTGGTAACACAAGTTAGTGTGTTATTACTCAACACATCCCTTTCATAAGGCGTGTGCGTTATTAAGCTGTTATGTGTGTTATGTAATGTTATGTTGGCTATGTACGTCGCTGCATATGTTATTGAATTGTTAAAATGCTATGTATGTCATTGAATCGTTTTTGTAGAAGGTTCTTTGAACAGGTAGATACAACAGGGTTTCCATCATCTAACCGTGCGACACATTCAGATGGTTCTTCGAGAGTTCACTGAATTGCTAAAGAACCCGTTGTAGCTTCGCACCTCAGATCAGACCTGTGATTAATTTCTTTAAAGGTTCTTTAAAGAGTGCAACAGGTTCATCACAGTTCAACTTAAAAAGCAACAGTAAAACGTCATGTGTTCTCTGTGGAGGATGCGTTCACTTATTTTCACTTAGAAGATCAACAAAACAGGTCATTTGACCGGGGTGCGCAAACTTTCGCACACGACTGTATATGTGTGTGTGTTGGTCATTTACTGCTTTATCTATTTAAATGTCTATACTGTGTGAATGTACGTTGTTCCAGTATGTCAGTGTGTGTGCGTGTGTATGTGTGTGTGTGTGTGTTGTTGTTGTTGTTGATGTTTTGTTTATGTGCGTCTTGTGTGTAAATATTCACCCCCCTCTCGAGCCAAAAGGGTTCTTCTCGCGATGCCATAGAAGAACCACTTCTAATCTCCTCATGCGTGGTTCTTCAGAGAACGATTTGTGAAGAACCATTCTAAAGTAAGACCCTCCACAGAATGTAAAGAACCCTTAGACTGGCGAAGAACCTTTTGTTTATGCGGAAAACAGTCGTTGAAAGCTTCTTCACTCCTCACGTCTCTTAAAGAACGTGGTTCTTTAGGGAACCAAACACCACCTTGTTTTGTAGCATCGCGAGAAGAACCCTCTGTGGTGCTTCTTTTTTCCTTAAATAGTGTACAATACGAGGTTCTTTGACCTGGAACGATAGCGGAACGCTTCCTTTGGTGCTTTAATTAGCCAGTCAACCCCTGAAGAACCCCTTTTTAAGGGCGCAGTTGTTTTCTTATTATTTTTTATTTATTTCAGTACCAGGACTCCCTACACCCTCCCCCCCCACCCCCCACTCCCCCACCAGACTCTCTGCTCATGTCTTCTGCTGTTATATTAGCCTATTATTTTACTGTATTAAGAGTTTATTTACTTCAGTATTCGGCTCTGCTCTGTTTCTGTTCTTCTTACTGTTGATTATTTTGTATTGAGTCTGTATTCAGAACCCGGATCTGCCCCTTCTAGCCTCCCGCGAGACCGTGTGTGATGTCGTTTTCGTATTATTTATTGTTATTTATTTCCCCTCTTCCTCTTTTTGGTTTTCTGAGTGAAAGTGAACACGTCCCTCCATAGAGATGCGCACTTAAGTGGCATTTTTCATCATTATTTTGAGTTTAACAGACTGGAAACATAAAATGTGCCATAACTTTTTCACAGTCGCCACATTGTATGTTGTACTTTTTCTGATCTGTTAGATTCGGCAGATACGCGGTCACTGTGCATCACAATGTGCAGGAGCGTGTTCTCTGTAGAGGACGTGTTCACCGACTTTCACTCGGAAACTCAACCAAAAAAACGCGTAATTTGAGCAGGGGTGCACAAACTTCTACACACGCCTGTGTTCATACTCAGTGTGGTCGGTGTGTTCTGAGCGCCCGGGCTGTCCGCTTTGTTGAGTGTGTTGTTCTGCTGTGTTTGTGCTCAGTATCCGGACCCCCTGTACCCCCCGGACCCCCTGTACCCGGAGTTCTCGGCGGTCCGGCCGGTTCTCGGAGCTCCGCTCTCCGCCAGCGAGGCGCTCCGGCGGGACAAAGACGCGATCTACGGGTACAGACAGCGCGAGCGTTACACACACACACACACACACATACACACACACACTGTCACACAGTTTATCTACTTCAAACAACGAGCTTTTATCCCGTTAAATGTTGATCACTCGTTAAGCTGGAATTCTGACAACTTTACTGTCCAGAGTTCATCAGATAATACAGTGAATATGGATAATACAGTTAATGTAGCTCATATATATAAATGTATCGACATAGGTTACACTATGTCGATACACATTATTATTATTATTATTATTATTATTTGTCTTAGTGTCATGATAATCATCCACAATGTTATTATAACACACATAGCCTACACCAAACACGGTAAGGCAGAGCAGGTTTTAAATAAATAAATAAATAAATAAATAAATAAACATGAATTTGCTGAACTTACTCAAAAGTAAATTTCTTTACTTTAAAGTAAAAGTCGAACATTTCCAGCGTTGTTCAGAAATAATCTGACTTTATGATTTTATTTGTTTATTATTGGAGTTTAGTGAAGTATTTAAGTATTTTTAATGGAATCAGCTTTTAAAGTTAAAAAATCAAACATGTTCAAGGTCTGCGGGCTGATGCTCTTATTTTAATGACTGCAATTGTTTTTATTAAGACTACTATTTTTTTCTTCATGTCTTAATGCTAGAGTGATATATATATATATATATATATATATATATATATATATATATATATATATATATATATATAAATATAAATGGATAGATGTATAGATAGATAGATAGATATATAGATATAGATATGGATATAGATATAGATAATATAAACTAATGTAAACAGTAGTGTGTAGTATGGTATGTTTCTCTTTTTTAGTTTTGTTGTTTTTGTTTTTGTTTATTTTTCTGTTTTCTTCAGTCATCCTCTGTTCCCTCTGCTCGCTCTGGTCTTTGAGAAGTGTGAACTGGCCACGTGCACTCCGCGTGAGGGTGGGCTGGGGGGCGATGTGTGCTCCTCATCCTCCTTCGATGAAGACCTCAGCGTCTTCTCCAAACAGGTCAGAACCCCCCCCCTCAGGGCTGAGACTGAGTCAGTACTTCACCCGTATCTGCGTCCTTCACTTCATCAGAGTTTGTTCTGTCTGTGTTTCAGATCAGAGCTGAGAGGCCCTACTTTCAGCCCAACCCCGACCTGGATAACCTGGCAAGTCATAATCTGCACAGTAAACTGAATAAAATACGTGTATTATTATTATTATTATTATTAATATTATTAGTCCCAGTGTAAGACATGCTGTAGCTGGAATGTGAAATCTGAGTCCAACGGTTTGATATGTTGTCATCTGATTGATTTGATGTATGGTTTTGTTTCATAGATGGTTCAGGCCATACAAGTGCTACGATTTCATCTTCTAGAGTTAGAAAAGGTGAGAATCTCTTCTCTGCTGCTATTCAGGTGTCATATTATTATCATTATTATTATTATTATTATTATTAGTAGTAGTAGTAGTAGTATGTATTTAGTATCATTATCCTCAACATCAACGTTACTATTATTATTATTGTATCTCTTGATATCATTATAATAATCCAACCCAACGTTATTATTAATAATATTATTATTATTATTGTTGTTGTTGTTATATATTATCATTATCAACATCAACAAAAGTATTATTATTATTATTATTATTATTATTATTATTATTATTATTGTGGCTGTTTATATTCTCGTTGTTGTTATATGGTTGTTATTATTGCTGAACTGCGTGTGCTCTGGTTGCTGCAGGTTCACGAGCTGTGTGATAACTTCTGTCACCGGTATATCAGCTGCCTGAAGGGGAAGATGCCGATGGATCTGGTGGTGGACGACAGAGAAGGAGCCTCTAAGTCAGACAGCGAGGAGTTCAGCCGCAGCTCTGCAGGAACAGATCAGGTCAGCTGCTCCTCCTCTTCTCCTCCGCTGCTTCTCCTCTGCCGAGGCGCTCTCTTCACAGCAGTCTGAGCTCCGTAGTTCGCGCTGACGATCACGAGCTGAAACATCTGGGCTAATCCTAATATTGGAGCCTTGGAATGAAACGAGTGTTCGTTTTTTTCGTTTTTATAAAGTTTATGTGAACGCAATCATTACATGCAATAAAGCATTCATAAGGCATTATAAACGTGGCTATAAATATCTATAAAATGTCTTACCCTTTGCCTTATGCATTGTGAACATAACGCATTATAAATGATGTTATAAGACGTGTTACAATACAAATGGAAACAACTATAGGCTTTTATTCCATTCTAGATCAACTCATACGTTCAATCTTAAACAAGATGATTCTTTAGGGGTTCTTTAATCGATTCTATATAGAACCATAGGTTCTATATGGAACCATTTGCATGTTTAATTGGTTCTTTGCATGGTGAAATCGTTCTTCATATTGATGGAGAATGTGTTGTATATGGTTCTATATAGAACCTTTTTGAAAATGGTTCTATATGGCACCAAAAAAAGTTTTATTACTGTTACAATGTCTAGCTTCTAACAATAGAAGAACCCATTTTGGTGCTATAGAACCATATACAACACATTCTCCATCCATCTGAAGAACCATTTCACCATGCAAAGCACCACTTGAGCATGAACCTGTGGTTCTACATAGAACCATTGCCTTTACTAAGGAATCCTATAAGAACCATCTTTTTTGAGAGGGCTGATAAGAGAAATCAAGACAAGACTGGTCAAATGTTTATGACCAGGCGGGTTTGTTAATGTACTATGAAAGCTGAGACTTTGGCACAGACAGTATGACCTTATGAACACAGCTTGTGTAAAAGTTTGTGCACCCCCGGTCAAGATACATGTGTTGTTGATTTTGTAAGTGAAAATCAGTTAATAATAAATAACGTTAATAAAGTTAGCCTCCTCTACAGAGAACACACTTCATACACAATCACTGTTTATCTGCTGAATTTAACACACTGGGAAAAAAGCATAAGACATAAAATGTGGCCTGTGCAAAAGTTATGGCACACTGTGTATTTTCAAATATGTTATTTCAAATATGTTAAACTCAAATAAACAGAACACATAAATAAATGCAAATAAATAGAAATTATGCAATAAAATTAGCAGGAAAATGTCTTACTTGAGTGTGTTCTCTGTATGTGTTAACATATTTACACTTAGAAAATCAACAAAACATGCAATTGAGCAGGGGTGTTCAAACTTTTGCGTACAACTAATAAATCATAATGCGTAATAAACATAACTACAAATTATAATCCACTTTATGAACATTTATAGCTGTGTCTATAATGCCATGTGAACACATTATAACATAGATCTTTATAGACATGGTGTTCATAGAGTGTTATGAGATTTTTTTTTGGCCAACTTCCATCTCAGCTTTGAGTTAGAATCGCTGCTGTCAGAACAAAAGAACAAAACCTTGTATCTCCAATTTTGTCGTTTTTCAGTTTTTGACATAATTTGAAAATATCTGTTGTCCTTCACATTGTGTGTAAACTTCATGATGAACGGATCAAAGCAAAAGGCCCAAAATGACTTGGTAAAAAGTCTGGCTCCATTGACTTACATTAAAGGTAAAATATGTTTTTTCCTTCTCCTGTAAAGTTACCATTCAGAGATATGAGGTTTTGTTCCGACAACAGCGGTACGTAATTTTAATTGTGATTGCAGCAGAACAAAGTCTGATTCACAGCTGCGGAGCAGGTTTTAGAGGCGTAACATTACATTCTGATTGATACATTGATTTTAAAGGCAATGATATGATTCTATCTACACTGAAAAAGTGCTGCTTTGTTTTTAGTTGATTCAAATCAGTGCATCACTCTTTTCATTGTACATGCACTGATCAATATTAAGCAAACTTTCCCTTTAGATCACACTGTAGAGAAAACATCTTCACTGTTTTTTTATTGCATTGTGGTCAGAGTCGTGTATCTCCGTGTCACTGTGCTGTTCCTGTCAGTTTAGTTTAATGCAGAGCCTGATATCAGCAGAGGAGCGACTCCTGTTTCATCATGAGTTCTTAGCTTGTGTGTCATTGTTGAAGTTTGAGCTTGGTGTGAAGCTTTAGGTGTTTAACCTTCAGTTGAGCAGCCAGGCTTGTTGAGGTTAGATGTCCTGAGCTACACGTCTGTGCTTGACTAAGTAGTTGTAATTAGAGTCTTGCTGATGTATCAGTTGGCCGATACTATTGTCCGATACCGATGACCTGCAGTTTTGTTGGCATCAACAAAGATTTTGCAGATAATGACTGATTTTTTTAGTCACAACCTGAGATCAAGACTGAGCAACACCTTAAATACGAGTGAATTCTTGAATAACTGCTGTGGATTATTAAATAACTACTAGAAAGTATTCAGTAGCTGCTGTAAATCATTCAGTAACTACTATGAATTATTTAATAACTACTACAAATTGTTCAAAAACTACTATGAATTATTCAGTCTCCAATATGAATCATTCAATAACTACTTGGAAATGTTCTTTAACTATTATGAATTATTCAATAACTACTATGAATCATTCAGTAACTAATATGAATTTATAATAACTACTACAAATGATTCAAAAACTACTATGAATTATCCAACAACTACTATGAATTATTGCGTAACTTTGAATTTGTCAATAACTACTACTAATTATTCAATAATGGCTATGAATTTTTCAGGAACTGCTATATATTATTCAATAACTACTTGGAATTATTCTTGAACTATTAAGAATTATTCAGTAACTACTTCAAATTATTCAGTAACTACTATGATTTTTTCAATAACTACTATAAATTTTGCAATAACTATTATAAATTACTCAATAACTATTATGAATGATTCAGTAACTATTATAATTTTTAAAAAACTAATTACTTAACTATTATTAATTGTTCTTTAACTACTTTGAATTATTCTTTAACGGCTATGAATTTTTCAGTAACTACTACAAATTATCAATTAACATCTATGAATGTAATATGTCAGGTGCTTATGCTTATGAAATTGAGGTGTGGACCCTCCAAAGGGTCATTAGAGTTTAATACACACACATATGTCAATAGCCGCAATAAATTAGCATCATTTTACTGAAATCACAGAGTTACACGCTAATCAGCACTGATTTCTTAACTAGTCTATAGTAGACTGTGTGTACTCGAGACTCGAGACTTCAGTTACTGTGGGACTGAATATTTTTCTGTTAGCACTGCAAAAAACCTGGGTTAAAATATTAAAAGTTAGATGAAAAATCAAACTTTTGTTTTGCCCAAATACAGTCGATGTTTTATGATTTCTGATACTGTATGATGTACTGTTACCTACGAATGTGGACATATGTCTGTTGCACAGCTAAAAACAGTATAGCAGCAATTTCACAGAGTCAGAAACCACATAAGTCTGTCTGAGATGATTTAACAACTGCAGGTCCTCTGAGGCGAGTTAGCACGATGCTAACTGGTGTGCATGAGCTTCCATTATTTCTTAGCTACATTAGCCTCGTATCTCCAGCGCAAAGCTAAAGAAGCAAACTTCACCAAACACGTGTTGAAGTAAATTAGTTTAAATTTGATTGTATTACTTTTTATGTTGCCAAAGTATATCGCTTTACGGGAAAAATAAAACATACTTTGAGATTTGAAGCTAGTTTACGTCTGAGAAGGCCAAACTACTAAGCATACGCAGCTTGCAATCAGTTTGTATACGGTGTAGTTCTGGCTGTGGTCGTACAGTTTAGAGAAGATTTATAACTAGCAGCTGTTCTGGGGTCAGTGTGGAGTTTTATTTTTGCTACGGTTGGGACAGAATCGTGGAGGAAGCAGGTCAGGGATCAGCGCTGATATGTAACCTGAACAGCTTCACCCACTAATGATGTTCTCCACTGGGACCGAGCGGCTTACGGAAAACATTCTGGCATTTTCTGCTGAGCTGAAACGGCTGATTCGGGTCTACTGTGCTTCAAAGGCTTACAGACATACTTTACTGAGCTGTTTCTGAGTGAAGCCGCAGGTCACGACGGTTCTGTGTTTGATTTTCTGTGCGATGGAATAGTTATGTGTTTAAATAAGCTTTTGTGTATGAATGTCTCTCTCTCTCTCTCTTTTTCTCTCTCTCCTTGTGTGTTCAATATGTGAATATATATATATATATATAATATAAGTCAAAACAGCCATTCAATACGAGTTATTCATTTTTCAGAATCAGGAAAAAAAGCAAGAAACGTATATTTAATGGAAAATTACAACTATAAATGCAACTAAATCTTTCAGTATTTATTGTGTCCACTATTTACCTGGATTAGAGCTTCACCTCCAAAGTTCAGTCTTAGAAGTTGGTTTAACATTTTCTGCTTCTCACCATCCAAATAATCCCAAACACACTCAGTGATGTTGAGGTCTGGACTCTGGGGTGGTCAGTCCATTGTTCTGAGAAACACCAGCAGCTTCTTTGTTTGATGTGTCTCCTTTTCTCAGTAAGAGCTTCTTAACAGCTACACATCCTTTCAGACTCATAGTGCTGAGTGTCCCACAGTGGAAGGATGGACAGAAACTCCTGTGGATGTTTTCAGATCTGAATCAAGAGTGGAGCTTGATTCTCTCAAAGATGAAAGCTTTAAGTGCTGTTTACCTGATGGGGTCAGTTTTGGCATCTACCACGTCTTCCAGGTGGTTGTTAGGAGTCTCATTTTCTCTGTAGCTTTTAATCATTTTTAAACTGCAGTTTTGGGAACTTCTGTTTCTTTACTTATCCTCCTCCAACTTTCTCCTTCCTTATGCAAGTGAATTATTTTATATCTAATTTCCTCTTATCTTCTGTAAAATGTATATCTTGGACTTAGTGGCCATTTGACCGGATATTCAATAAATGAAGGGTAGTTTCCTCATAAAGATTGTGTGTGTATCTGAGTGTGTGTGTGTGTGTATGTGTGTGTGTGAGACAATATGGGGCGGTGTGTGTGTGTGCGTGTGTGTGTGTGTGTGTGTGTGTGTGTGCGCGTGCGCACATAAAACCGTACAGCATGTGTTGTATATTATCTCTTACAGCATATGTCTGGTATGCAGTTTCTTACAGTACTGGAGTAAATCATATATTACTAATATCTATTACTGAGAGTCTAAAGCAGAGAACAGGACTGTAACCCTCTGACCCTTCACTCAACTGGATTACGATACTTCAGCACCATGAAATTTCAGATGTCACCATGATTAGAGCTGATTATGATTCTTTAGGAAAAGATTTAAAGCATCGTAAAGTTTCAAAGTTAGCTATGATTCTTTCTGATTATGATTCTTTAGAAAACAATTCAAACATCAAGAACTCTGAAATTCCTCCACAACTCCAATCTACTACAATTCTTAAGAAACGATTCAAAGTATCATGAAACATTAAATTTGACTGCAACACGATTCAATTACAGATCTTTGGGAAATGATTCAAGGCATTATGAAATGTCTCTCCATGATTCTGTCTGATTATGATTTGTTAGGAAATGATTCAAAGCATTCTAAGATCCCAAAATTCACCATGATTCTGTCTGAATATGGCACTTTAGAAAATGATTCAAAGCATCATAAAATCCTAAGTTCATCATGATTCAGTCTGATTATGGTTCTTTAGGAAATGATCCAAAACATCATAAAATCCCAAAATTCACCATGATTCTGTCTGATTATGATTTGTTAGGAAATTATTCAAAACATTCTAAGATCCCAAAATTCACCATGATTCTGTCTGATTATGATTTGTTAGGAAATGATTCAAAGCATTCTAAGATCCCAAAATTCACCATGATTCTGTCTGATTATGATTTGTTAGGAAATGATTCAAAGCATTCTAAGATCCCAAAATTCACCATGATTCTGTCTGATTATGATACTTTAGAAAATGATTCAAAGCATCATAAAACCCCAAATTCACCGTGATTCTGTCTGATTATGATTCTTTAAGAAACGATTCAAAGCATCTTAAAATCCCAAAATTCAACATGATTCAGTCTGATTATGATTCTTAAGGAAATGATTTAAAGTGATTAGGAAATCTTTCATTTCTCCATGACTGAATCTGATTATGATTCTTTATGAAATAATTCAAAGCATCATAAAATCCTAAAATTCACCATGATTCTGTCTGATAATGATTCTTTGGGAAATGATTTAAAGCATCATAAAATCCGAAATTCACCATGATTCAGGCTGATTATCGTTCTTTAGGAAACAATTCAAAGCATCATAAAATCCCAAAATTCACCATGATTCAATCTGAATATGATTCTTAAGGAAATGATTGAAAGTATCTTAAAATCCCAAAATTCACCATGATTCAATCTGATTATGATTCCTTAGGAAATGATTTAAAGCATCATAAAAACCCAAAATTTACCATAATTCAGTCTGATTATGATTAGTTAGGAAATGATTCAAAGCATTATAAGATCCCAAAATTCACCATGATTCAGTCTGATTTTCATTTTATGAAATTATCCAAAGCATTCTAAGATCCCAATGATTCAAAGCATTATGAAATCTTTCATTTCTCCATGACTGTATCTGATTATGATTCTTTAGAAAATGATTAAAAGTATCATAAAATCCCAAAATTCCTTATGATTCTTTAAGCAACGATTGAAAGCATAATGAAAGCTCTCATTTCTCCATCATTGAATCTGATTACATTTCTTTAGGAACTGATTGAAAGCATTGAGAAATCTCTAATTTCACCACGATTGGATTCAATCAAGATCTTTTAAGCAGTGATTAAAAGTATCATAAATTAGAATCAGTCTGTTTCAACTGATTCGATTAGATTGCGAGTCTTTGGAAAGAGATCTCAAATTTCATCATGATAGGATTTGATTACGATCGTATCAAAATATCTTATCTTACATTTCACCACAATTTGATTCAGTCTGATTCATTAAACCAGTTCTTTTATGTCTATTAAAATTGAATGTTAAAAATACACTGAATACAGAAATGTTACTGGAGGAACTACTTACACAGTTGTGGAACATAGACCATAAAAGTATCCCAAGCTTTTATATTCATTTTTAGGCTTTAAAATATGCTCAGAAGCTGAATCTTCAGATCAATAAATTAATTTATTGTTATCAAAGGCAAATGTTTATTTCTCTCTCTCTCTCTCTCTCTCTCTCTCTCTCTCTCTCTCTCCATCCCTCTCTCTCTGTAGATGTGCTGGAGGGAAGATGACTCCGTCTCCGTCCACTCCACTGAAGGTCCTGCTGCTCCCTGCGGTGGACGAGCCGGTTCACTCAATGGAGACAACAGCAGTGAGCACGGTAAAGATCGCTTTACTTAGGCTCACAGTTTAAAGCTCAGTCGTGTGCAAAAGTTTATGTGCTCCTGGTCAAATGACCAGAATCATAATCAGTTCTAGTTGTGATGATTTTCTAATGCAAAAAAAAACAGTTAACACATCTTTTGCAGAGAACACACTTCTGTACATTTTAATGCACAATTACTGTTTATTTTCTGAATTTAACATTTCGGATAAAAAAATAAAAATAAAATGTGACCTGTGCAAAAGTTAGAGCACATTTTATTGTTTACCTGTTAAATTCAGCATTGAAGTGTGTTTTCTGTAAAGGTGTATTGACTTTTATTTAGAAAATCATCACAAAACATCTCATTTGACCAGGAGTGTACAACTGTACATAGATTTTACATAATAAAAGTCCCCTAATTTGTAAAATGCATCATTCCAATCATCGTCAGCTATATTTACACAACAGTTCAGCACAGAACGGAAAAACAAAAAATGTATTTCTCCACACACACACACACACACACACACACACACATGTACACACACACACACGCACATGTACACACACACACACACAGATGTACACTCACACATGTATTCCTGTCAGATTAGCATGAGTATTTGTGAAATGTTTGCTGGGTGCCAAGTGAAACAGAGCTGCAGAGGTTTTGTCATCTCCTGCACACGTTTACACTTTAGCACCACCCTGGGGGTCTTCTACTGCACACACACACACATACAGGAATGCAGGAACAGTGGTATTTTCAGTGTACAGTGAAGTCTGTTAGCTGCAGTGTAAGTATGTGTGTGTAGATTAGTGGGGAAATGGTGCATGGTGATATAAAGAGTCGTGTCCATGCTCCTCAGCGCTGTGCACCAAACCATGGCCAATAAAAACCAGAGCACACGCACTTCCCCAAAGAACGCACACACACACACACACACACACACACACACACACACACAGCTGCTAGCCTGCCTCCATCAGAATAACATACTCCCCTTAGTACAGAGAAAGAGAGAGAGAGACAAATGGGAGAGAGGGGATTAGTGATACTGAGAGAGAGAGAGAGTGAGAGGTAGAGAGAAATCAAGATCAACCGTGTTGAAATGATGTACAGTACTTTGCAAAAGTCAGAGACCACCTTTCATTTCTTTAATTTCTAGTCAGAAGGGCTTATTAAGTTATTAATTTTTGGGAGATGAATTATGATGAGATTTATGAAGAGATCATGTATAATATAATGGGTATGAGGACGTGCATGAGGAAGGGGAAAGTCAAGGAGAATGTGGCGCTCCACTCCTAACAACCTCGTAAGACCTGGTAGACAACAAAACTGTCTCCATCCGATAAACAGCACTTAAAGCTTTCATCTTTAAGAGAGAGGAGAAAATCAAGTCTGAATCTGAGTCTGAAAGGATGTGTAGCTGTCAAGGAGCTTTTACTGAGAAAAGAGCACAGACAAAAAAAAAGAAATCAAACAAAGAAGCTGCTGGTGTTTCTCAGAATAATGGACTGACCACCCCACTGACCAGTCCAGACCTCAACATCCCCGAATGTGTTTAGGATTATTTGGATTGTGAGAAGCAGAAAATGTTAAACCAACTTCTAAGTATAATGTGTGTTTTTAATTTTTTTTTCTGACACTGAATTTGGTTGTTTTGACTGAAAATAAAAATGAAGGGTGGTCTCAGACTTTTACACAGTACTGTATACATTTGAAAGAAGTTAGTTCAATGCATCACTTTTTTCAGTGGAAGCTCAAGGATAACACTGAATACTCTTTCTAATGTGTATGTGTAAATAGTGTGTGTGTGTGTGCGTGTGTGTGTGTGTGTGTGTGCACTCCTGGGCCTGATGGGCTCAGTGTAAACACGCATAACTGCACAAACAAACTGAAGCAGTACAGACCAAGCTTTACAGCACAGTGTGTGTGTGTCTGTGTGTGTGAGAGTACATTTGTTCCACTGTGTGTTACCTAGGCTGGCTCTAGCATTTTTGGGGTCTTAAGTAGGTTTTTATAGGGGCTTCCCATCTTGCTAGCTGATGTACTCTAAAATTAAAGGCTAACTAATCATTATGACTACCACAGTCTGTCTACATCATGCAAATTCATAACTGTATATTTTATCTACTAGTGATGATTTGAAGCTGTTTGGGCTTCAAATAAGTCACAGTTTAAATTACAGACAGCGTTCTCAGAGTTCTCCGCGTTCTCAGCACTCTCAGCGTTCTCAATCCAGGGATCTCACCACACAGTTTTCTTACCTACTTATTACTTAAGCTTAGTTCAATCTAACCCTGGTGGCCATGGCGACAGTGTTGCTTTATTACCGTTACATTCTTTACATTCTACACATTTAGGTAATATGATTCATTTTCCCTTTTTGGCGACTCCTCCTCATGTTTCATGGCTTTTGTCAAAAACATGACAGTTTTATGTGCATGCATACGAGGATTACTCACAGCCTGAGTATCTAAACCTGGATTAATCACAGCAGTTATTAATATGTTAAAATCGGGAATGAAAAACAGCACAGCACATTTAAAAACCTAAACTTAGTCATCCTAGGCTAAAGCATACTGCCAAAACCAGCATCAAAAATGTTTATGGACAATTTATGTCTTTTTTTATTTATTTTTGGTCTTGGAAATTGATAGAAAATGACACACTCTGCTCTATCAAGGAAGAGATCTTACTTTTACACATCCTCATATTGTTTGTCAATCACATAAACAAATCTTTACATTTTTTGAATGCAGCTGGAGCTTTAAATTCAAACCCCTGCACCAGACCTGTAACTCTAATAACTATAACTAAAATTTAGAAAGGTTGTTTTTGTGTAAAAGTGACTTCCACCACATAGTGAATGAACTAACTGCTGAATATATTGTCACTGTGCAAAGATCCATCTGCTTTGGTAACTTTACAGGAGAGGGCAAAAACATTCTTTACTTTCAATGTGAATCAATGAAAAGAGATTTTGTTCCAAACAGTTTTGGAGCATTTCTGTTAGTTGAATTCGAACAATGTAAAGGACACCAGCTGAGCTCAGATGGTGTAGAAAAATGTAAAAATATGTGTATTACACCGTCAGTTTGTGAAAATACATCCCATATCAGCATGTTTTACAGTTATTTTATTTCATATACCTCTTTCTCTCTGCTTGTCTCTTTTACGCTCTTGCTTCTTATTTCTCACTGTTTACTGAAAAGATCATAAATGGTATGAAAGTCTGTTTTTACCAAACCCCAGCTAACAGGAAATCAGGCTACTCATACTATTAATGAGACAAAAAAAATCCAAAAATAAAATACAACTTCTTGTACCTGTTGATTTCTAAATTCCATTATGTGAAATAATGCCATCAATATGCTAGTTCACTTTTTCATGCGCATAGTTAACACAATACAGCAACTTACCTTCCATTAATTTCTCATTTGGTCGCTTATATAGCCATCTAAGGAGCTTGTAACTTTAGCCTAAACTGATCAGCTACTGAAACTAGACTAAAACAGGCTGATTTAGCTAGCTAGCTAGCAATGTCCAAATAAAAAAAACAAATTATGAAGTTTGCATTTTACAAAGATAATCTGTTAATTTCCTCATAAAGAGATAAAAACAAAAGCTTTCCAAACCTATCAAGGACTGTGGTGCCTTAATGCTAGCTATAGACATGATGGGTGCTGATAATTTATTGAAGGCTTGAGGCAATGACAGATAGCAATGGTTCTTAGCAGCGATAGGAGGACTATAAAAGAAAAAAATGGAGCTTGTCAGACAGCATAATGATTTTGTTGGCCATACAGTGACAAAAAAAAACAGAATAAATCAGATTTCACTCATGTTAAAATATGCTGCTTAATGAATATCTTTCCTTATTTTTGTGGCTGGGCCTATGATCAATCTGAGTAGGGCCTACACAGGGCTAAGCTCCTGAAATCACAGCCTGAGTATCTAAACCTGGGTTAAAGTGTCTAAACCTGGATTAATCACAGCCTGAATATCTAAACCTGGATTAATCACAGCCTGAATATCTAAACCTGGATTAATCATAACCCGAAGATCTAAACCTGGGTTAATCACAGTCTGAGTATCTACACCTGGATTTATCTCAGTCTGAGTATCTACACCTGGATTAATCACAGGCTGAGTATCTACACCTGGATTGATCTCAGTCTGAGTATCTAAACCTGGATTAAGCACAGCCTGAATATCTAAACCTGGATTAATTTCAGTCTGAATATCTAAACCTGGATTAATCATAGCCCGAAGATCTAAACCTGGGTTAATCACAGTCTGAGTATCTAAACCTGGATTAATCACATGCTGAGTATCTACACCTGGATTTATCTCAGTCTGAGTATATAAACCTGGATTAATCACAGCCTAAATATCTAAACCTGGGTTAATCACAGTCTGAGTATCTAAACCTGGGTTAATCACAGTCTGAGTATCTAAACCTGGGTTAATCACAGTCTGAGTATCTAAACCTGGATTTATCTCAGTCTGAGTATCTAAACCTGGATTAATCACAGTCTGAGTATCTAAACCTGGATTAATCATAGCCTGAGTATCTAAACCTGGGTTAATCACAGCCTGAGTGAAAAAAATCACAGTTTAATATGTTAATTTTAGTTTTGCCTTAGTACTGGAAACATATGCATGAATTGATATTTAAAATACTAAATTAACTTAAATTTACCTAAAAACTGAACATTAAGTAGCCTGGTAAATTTACAAAACAACATCTGTGTCTTACATTTTATTCTGTAAACTTATCTTCTGAAGTTCAATGAACTAGTCAGCTATGACTTTTTAAAGTGAAATAACAAATCTTTTTTCACAGTGTACTAAACATTTTTGGAACCAGTTTTGATAAGTAAATTTATTATTCTAATCCACAAGCTCTACAGCCATTCTCATAGTTACAGAAATGTTAATATGGTACATTTGATGTTATGACTATCACTAAAAATGGTGTTATTTACAATGTTAATGTTTGATTGTTCTTAATGCCAATACATTTTAAAACATTTAATACCCTCTACCTAGCCTTTCACAATTTATTACATGTTAATAAATGTTTATTACTCTACTATAAGCTATTAATAAACCACTCAGTTGTCTGTATGTATTAATGGAACACTATTTTTGTTTTATTTTCTAACAGGTGACCTCTTAGACCACAGTGCTGCATCTCCAAGCACAGGAGATGACGATGATATGGATAAGGACAGAAGAAACAATAAAAAACGAGGGATTTTTCCTAAAGTAGCAACCAACATCATGCGAGCATGGCTGTTCCAGCACCTAACAGTAGGCACAAATATTTAACTCTCTGCCTAATTCAAAAGGTTTATGCACTGCAGTATAAACATGTTCTCAAGTTTTATAACAAGCTTATAAAGCTGAAGTTAAAAAGTGCTGCATTGAATTCGCTTGATTCAAATGTGTACATCATTCCCACATAAATAAAATATACTAAATCAACAACACTTGTTCTTTTAGTTTACTGACTTTTGCCAGTAACTGTGTCGAAATATGTAATATGTTTTATTCATGTGAAAAGAATGTACAATCAAGATAATTCAATGCATCATTTTATAACGCCGTAAGGAATGGTTTGGTGAAAATATCAAATGTCCACAATTTTGCACTTACCTCAGATGTAGTTGACCAGTGAAGTCATGTTTGGTGTCCAAATTTTGCTTCTTTATTTAAAAACTGACACTATGTTTACTGTTTGTTAACAAACAGTAGAAGTCAATAGTCACCCAAATTTTTTTCTGGAAATACAGCCACAAAACCTCTCTCAAACTGCGTCCAGGTGTTTATTAAGGCCAAAAAGACTTGCTGATGTGGTTTAGAGAACAATATGACTTAAGGGAGATATAAAAACAAACTTTACCATGTAGCTGATTTATGGAAAAGATTTGGGCAGCTGATGACTTCTAGTGTTTGTTAACAATGTTAGCCCCATAGTTCCAGTTCTAAGCTAAAGAAGCTAAATTTATACACCAAACATGTCTTAGCTGAATGACTACATCTGGGTTGAGATGAAAATTGTTTCAATTTCATTTCTTTTTTTTTTGTGGTTCCTTTACGTGCATATAAATGACTGTATTGCGTAATGTAGATGTGGCCTATTTGAGTTTAGTGTACAGACTTTAGTTTACTTACAAATTTGAGTTCATCAGATGAGTCAGAGCACATATTTAGTATGTGAGATTACACACGAACACATACACACTCTCATTAATACAGACACACACACACTCACACACACACATACACACACACACACTCTCATTAATACACACACACACACACACACTCATTAATACACACACACATAAATGATGTAAAATACAGGCTCATACACTCGTGGGTAACAAATCCTCATTTGGAGTCTCCTGGTACATTATAATGTGCTATGGCCTGATGAACCCTCCTGCAGGCCTGAAATATAATCATAATGCTTGTTGTATTCAAACTCTGCAAGGAGTGTAGTAGTACTCATTTCATTGTTATGTTTTGGGTGGAAACAAAGAGGTTAAATTCTTGAAACACCATTCAGGGTCTGGTATCTGTGCAGCCGAGCAGGCTCTTCCATTGGTTAGTACTTCAGGAGCTGAACTGAAAGCTTCTGATTAAGTGACTTTAGTGGGTTTATGCTGTAATTCTAGGTGGTTGGTAGGGTAGCTATGCTGTTGCTATGATGTTCCTGATGGTAGTTAGGGCATTGCTTGAAAGGGGTTAGGTGGTTGCTAGGTCACTGCTATGGTGTTGCTAGTTGACTGCTAAAGTGTTGCTAAGCAGTTATAAAGGATAACCAAGGTGGTTGCTGTAGTATTTCAGGTGATTGCTGGCATGTTGGTAGTGCTAAGTTATCTTATGTGGTTTCTAAGGTGTTGCTACATTGTTGCTATGGACTCTTTGGTTGCTAGGAAGTTGCTGTGGTGTTCCAGGTGGTTGCTATGGCATTCCAGGTGGTTGCTAGGCAGTTGGTATCTCTGGTGGTCGTTAGACTGTTGGGATACTAGCAGAAATTAGCATTATCAAAAAAGAGTTTCATTTTAAAATGACTGTTTTTGGTACAGACAACATTAAAGGACCTCACCAGTATCTTCCTAAGCTTCTTAAAAATGAGAAAGGTCCTAAGAAAAACTCTATGTCAGATTAATGATGTGTTCTTAAACCGCAGAATTGTTCTCACCTTTGTGAGTGTGGGTAGATTCTGTTCTTCCCTAAGAACAAATCCCAAATAAGAAAACACGGGTGAATCTCAGAATCTTCGTGAAAACTGCGTAAGATGGTTTTACGAAGAAAGTTTCTTCTTAAGAACAGTTAGTAAATGAGGCCCTATAATATGAACTCTCTCTGCATTCTCTAATAACCTTGATCATGTGGTTTCTGACGCGGTATGACTCATTATCTGTTCTCTGTAAACATGGACAAAAGGAAATCTTTGCACTCTTTTACTTTTTTTTTTATAAAAGCTATATTGCTTGTGAAAAAGGAAAGCATTTCTCCTCATGGGAAAGCAGCCAAATGTCTCTACAGTAGACATTTGGTCTCCTCAATGAGCTAAATACACACGTACACTCACACAGGCGGTAATATGCGCAGGGTAATTAGTGTGTAATTTGCCACCCTCCTGTTAGCAGATGTGTAGCAGAATGTGCTAAGCCCCCCCACCAGCACTGAACAGAAACAGCAGCAGCATTCAGCTCTGCGCTTCTTTCACATCTCACCGTTTTCATGGTCTGTATTTCAGTTATTATTGCTGTTTTTTTTATATCGTTTAAATGAGTCAGTTTTTCAAGAAATTTCATGTACATTTAATTTGCTCTCTGTATCGACAGGTTGACTTTTTTCTTTTTCTTTTTTGAATAAAACAAAAAACAAGAACACAACAAAACATGAATTAGCTGTTTCTTTTCCTTATTTTCCTTCTGATTCAAACCAAATCAAGAAGGGGAACGTTTATGAACAAACTTGAAGTTGTCTTGACAAAGCCAGTTAAAATGCTTGAAAAGTTAACACAGTTATAGAAAACTGCTGATTATTTAACTTTAGTGGGTTTATGTTGTCATTTCAGGTTTTTGCTAGGGTGTTGCTATGCAGTTGATATGGTATTCCAGGTGGTTGCTAGGTCATTGCTATGGTATTGATTGTTGGTCACCATATGACTGCTATAGTATTTCTGGTGGTTGCTGGCATGTTGGCAGTGCTAAGTTATCCTAAGTGTTGCTACATTGTAGCAATGTTTTCAGGTTGCTAGGGAGGTGCTATGGTGTTACAGGTTGTTGCTATGGCATTCCAGGTGGCTGTTAGGTAGTTGCTATGGTGTCTCTGGTGGTTGTTAGGCTGTTGTTCTATGTAGTTAAAATGCTACTGCTTGCTATGGTATTCCAAGTGGTTGTTAGGACATTGCTAGGTGGTTCCAATGGTATCTGTGGTGGTTGCTATGTAATTGCTATGGTAGTCCATAGCTGCTGGAAAGCTTGTGAATTTGTATGCACTGTGACTGATGGTCAGTATGAGAGGTGTCCATAGTGACATAATTTGTTGCAGTAAGATTTGAATTTTCTACCATTAAATATCCGATCCGCTGTTGTCAGAACAAAACTTCTTATCTCCGTTTTTCTCATTTCTCAGTTTTTGACATCATTTGAAAGCTCCCGTCGTCCTTTACATTGTTTATATTATATATAAACAATGTAAAGGACAATTTATATTTTTTATGATGAATGGACCAACAGAAATAACCCCAAATTACTCTGAAAAAAGTCTGGTTCCATTGACTTACCATAAAAGTAGAGTAAGGTTTTTCCTTCTCCTGTAAAATTACCATTTTGGAGACACAAGGTTTTGTTCTGACAACAGCAAATTTCCTACACTGTACAAAAAACTTATATCTGGTCAGTTCAAAAAGCACAACTACACCATCGGTTCAGCCATAGATTCTATGATTGTGCCAAGTTTGCTGGTTCTAACTTGAAAGTTGTAGGAGGAAAAAGTGTTTACATGTTCAGCATGGAGTAATAAGTTGAAATGAGGAACCGTGAACCAGCTTAAGAAAATATCTAGTACTTAATTTCAGTACTGCATTCAGCTTTGGTCAGAACCACAGTCCAACAATTCCACAACAAACCTTTCAGTGTCAATGTCTGTTTTGACCCTGGAGGGTTCAACGGGCTCAGGTAGCTAACTTTGGTAGCTAGAACTGCATCTTTGAAGAACATCAGATCCTAGTTTAACAAGGTCACAGTTAGAAATATGGCAACTGACAATTAATAAGTTTCATATAATCACATTCATGCCAGCTTGGACTGTAAGAACACTTGATTTTAAACTTTGTCCAGCAGGAATTTACAATAACCACACCCCCTCAGCCCCTCAGCCAATGAGAGAACAAACCTATTTTATACTGTATATAATTTACCAATTTGCTATGTTAATTTTTAAATGAAATTAACATGAATTGTATTTTTTAAGTATTTTAAAAACTCAACCTGAAATCTAGACCTTTATTTGTGTATTGATTTGTCTTTTTGTCCCTCGCCCACCACAAACATTGCACTTTGGCACCCTGCGACAAAAAGTTTGGGCACCCTTGATTTAATATTAATTTAAGTCACACACAGTCAGTTTCCCTGACAACAAAACCACAGTGTGGTAACAGAAACTGTGACTAAGTGCCTGATTATTGTATTGTTGAGCTCCGGCTGTTCTCTCTTTCTGAAAACACGGGGTAACTCTTTACTTCAACCCTGTAACATCATGTCTGACACTTAAAATAAATGGTTCTTCAAGGGTTCTTCGGTAAAGGCAGTGGTTTATTTAGAACCATGAGTTTTATATAGAACGATTTCATGCTTAGACGGTTCTTCACATGGTGAAATGGTTCTTCAGACGCTTTCATGATGCAAAGAACCCTTTAATCTTGCAAAGGGTCCTTTGAGTGTTCATGGTTCCATATAGAACCATTTCTTTTACTAAAGAACCCATCCTTTTAAGAGTGTATTTCTCAATATAGAACCTTTTTGAAAATTGTTCTGTATAGCATCATAAGCTTGACATTGTAACAACAGCAGAATCATTTTAGTGCTATATAGAACCATTTTCAAAATAGGTTCTATGTAGGACAATACACAACACATTCTCCATCAATATGAAGAACAATTTTACTATGCAAAGAAATATGTAAGCATGAAATTTTCTATATAGAACTCATGGATCTAAATATAACCGTTTCTTTCACTAAAGAACCATTGAAGAACCATCTTTTTAAGATCTTTGTATATATTTCT